CCTGGACGAGCGAGCCTGAACGGCTGCAGGGCTGCCGTGCCCGAGCCGGGAGTTGCGGGTGAGGGCACCCCACAGCGCCGTGCCGGGCCCCACGCGTCTACCGCGGGCCGGCTCCGCCGCTCCCCTCCGCTCCTCCTCCTTCCCCGCGGCTGCCGGCAATCGCGGCGCCGTCTCCCCGCGCAGCAACAAGCGTTGCGGGAAGGGGAGGCGGGAGGGAGTGAGCGCTGCCCTGCTGACCACCCCCCTCCTGGGCGCATTCCCCCCTCCAGCCTCGGGGCTGCCGGCGTGCCGGGTCCCCACCGAGCATCCCGCAGCACGCCCGGGCGGGGAGGGGGGGGGAAGGCGGAGCGCCCCCCGCTCCGCACACACCTTGCGCGACCCGAGCCGCCGCCGCTGGTGGTGCAAGGTCGCTCTTCCTCCGGCCCCCGCCCGCCGTCCGCAGCCCCCCCTGGCCCCGCCGGGACGTGCCTCCGCAGGCAGCCCCAGCCCCGGCCCTGCCCCTGCCGCAAGCCCCGGCCTGCTCGGCGCGGCGGGCGCTGCTGCGCGGCTCGGGCGGCCCACGCACGGCCCCGAGCATGCGGGCACGCCGGGCACCCGCCGCGCGCATCCGTGTGCGGCACCCGCGCGGGCACGGCGGAGCACGTGCGCGCCCGCCCGCCCACGCGGACGCGGTGCGGGCAACACCCGGCGTGGGCGCGCGCGGGCACCCGCCGCGCACATATGTGTGCGCGCTCCCGCGGGCACACGGGCGCGCACAGACCACCCCACCTCCCACCCCCCACCCCCCACCCCGGGGTAGGCGCGCACACGCGCTGCCGCCGCACACATACGTGTGCACATGCCCGCACATGCAGGGGCAGGCACAGCCCTGCACACACGTGTGCACCGCTCATGGGCATGCACCACCACCAGGCACGTATGTGCTGCGAGGGCCACCACCTGCACGGGCATCACACACATGTGTGTGCACCATCCATGCACAGGCAGGCACGTGTGTGGCTTCCACGCCCGTGTGTGTGGTCACAGGGCACCACATGCCCAAGCCTGCACATGCCAGGCGTGGGAAAGCACATGCCCCACGTGCACGTGGGCACGGGCGGGCACACACACCCCCACCGTGCGTGTATTCGTGAGCCCCTCACACGGGCGAGGGCGGGCACACGGCTGGCACGGGTGGGTGCGCACCCCGTGGCCCCCCTCATTTGAGTGCACGTAGGTAGGCAAGTCCCAGGCATGGGCGAGCATGCGCACCACTGCCCTGCAACCATGTGGGCATGTGGCAACACATGCATAGGCACATACAGGCACAGACACCTACAGCACACGCATGGACACCTCCACACACGGTGCTTGTACACACGCTTGCATGTGCATGGAAACGTGCTGGCAGCCTAGAAAGTCGCCCGTGTCCTGTGGGTGCATCCCCAGGAGCATGGGAAGCAGGACAAGGGAGGGAGTTCTCCCGCCTCTGCTCTGCTCTGGTGAGACCCCCAGGAGCACTGGGTCCAGCTCTGGGGTCCCCAGCACGAGCAGGATGTGGAGATGTTGGAGCAGGTTGGGAGGAGACCACAGAGATGCTCTGAGGGTTGGAACTTATCTACTGTGGAGACAGGCTGAGAGAGCTGGGGTTGGTCAGCCTAGAGATGAGAAGGCTCTGGGAAACCTTAGGGTAACATTTCAATATATTAAGGGGGCTCCAAACGAAGACAGAGTTTTTCCCAGGGCCTGTCATGACAGGACAAAAGACCACTCCGAATGGTGGGGTTGGTTGGAGAGAAAGAGGAAATCCTTTACCATGAGGCTGGTGAGGCACTGACACAGGTTGCCTGGAGGAGCTGTGGCTGGCCCATCCCTGGAAATGTTCAAAGCCAGGTTGGATGGGGCTTGGAGCATCCCTGGAAGATGTCCACCCCCCTCCAGAGCTGTGTTTGTATAGAACATGCTCTGGATTGTGTGATGGAGTGCACACACATGCATGCACAGATATGGGTGGGTGCTGCCAAACACCCCACGGGCAGGGAGAGAGGGGCTGGCATCACTTTCCACCCCATGGTGTCCCGTGGTCCCCCCTTCTCATCTCACCAACTGCTGCTCTTGGCCCTCATGCTGGCAACCAGGCAGGCCTGGACAAGAGTCCTACATCCCACCAAGCCACAACCCACCCGTCTGCTGGGCCATGCCCAGAGGCAGGGAGGGTCCATTGTCCCCTGCCTGATGCATGGCTTTGCCCTTTGGGCTCCAATGGGAAGCAAGGGCAAGGGTGGCCTGCTGTGGGGTTTGGACCTCCATTATTCTGGGACTCCCCATCTCCCACATGGGGCAAGGGTCTCTCACTGAAGCATCACCACCCACTGTGTCCTCATCCTTCCCCAGCTCCTGGTCCCTCAGGATGAAGTGTGTGCCATACAGTGGGACAGACCCGGGATCTGTAAAATGGAGAGATCACAGTGATGGGTAGACAGGCTCCAGGGCTAGGGGCTACCCCACCTTTGTGGGTTATGTTTTCACCTATGCTATGATGGGCCCACTCTCCTTCAGCTCCCCTGGGCTCCCTCACAGGGATCCCCAGGACCCCAGTCCCACGGTCCCAGTTGAGCACTGAGGGCCCCCACATGCAGCAGCCTGGCCATACCACCGTGCCCTGGGCCCACAGTCCTGCCTGGCAGCAGCAGGGAGGGACAAGGGGGTCTTGAATGAGGCCATGGGGCACAGCCCCACGCCTGCGTGCACCCCCCTCCCCATGCCTGTGGTTATCTGTGTGCATGGGCTGGCACGAGCGGCCCTGCCCACTCACACTTTCACACATGTTCACCCACTTATGCGTTTGCTCACCTGTGTGTGCACACCCACTCGTGTGCGTGTGTTCACATATGTACACTGTGTATACGGGGACACGATCCCGTGTGTGTGTGTGTGTGTGTTCACCTGCATGTGCAGTCACTCACCCCTGGTGCCTTTGCTGGGGCTGAGCCCCTCTCTGTGCCCTGTGCACACCCACTGACACACATGGCACATGCGTGTCTGCTCACACGTGTGTGCGTGCATTCACCCGCACGTGTATGTGCGTGCTCAGCTGTGTGTGCTCACAGGCGTGTGCATCCGTGTGCTCTGACACACGTGTGCCAGCACACCCCGCGCAGCCCCACGCTTGCGCTCCACACGCGTTCAGCCAATGTGCACACACACATGTACCCCCCTGCGCGCTCGCCCGCACTCGCACTCACCCCACGCTCACACCCATGCTCACCCCGAGCTCACACTCCCGCTCATGCTCACCGCGATCTCACGCTCACACTCACGCTCACATCCACGCTCACGCCTACACTCACACTCACACCCGCGCTCACGCTCACACCCACGTTCACGCTCGCACCCACCCCGTGCTCACACTCACGCTCACCCCGCGCGGGGCTCACGCTGCACCATCCCCGGCGCGCGCTCCCGCCGCCTCCGCCGCGCGCGCCCGCGCACACCTGCGCTCCCGCACCCGCCTGCGCGCGCGCGCGTGCACCGGCGCCGCCCAGCGGCCGCCGCCGCGCCCGGGGCCGTGCGGGACTGCGCGGGCAGGGGCTGTTCCGACCCCTTCGTGCGACCCGCGGGCAGGCTGAGACCCCGGGAGAGGCACCGGGCAGCGCCGCCCCGAGCCGGGGCACCCCCGGAGCCCGCCCGGCACTGCGACATCCCCCAGTGGACACGGCCACCGCTCCCTCCCCGCGGCCGCCCCAAAAGCTCCGGCTGCGACGCCGTGGCTGAGTGCCAGGGACAGCGCGACACCCCACCACTCAAGCGCGGTGGCCCTTCGATGTGCTCCTGGGGAGTGGGCCAGGCACTGCCCTCCGCTCCAGCCCCGCCTGGAAGCACTGTGTGCAGAGGGCTCCCTGCCCACAGCTGCACTCCAGCTGCCCCCTGTGACCCTCTGTAACCCCAATCGGGTCCCAAGAGCTTGCCAAGGCGTGGCTCACCGCAGCTGAAGTAATTCCACCCCCACCCCCCACCCCCCTCCGTGCCACTTGGGGGGGCACAGGGACAAACCACACGAGACACAGCTGGGACAGATGTGCAGCTCCTGCTGCTGCTTTAGTGTGAGGCACAACAGCACGCAGCAACGCACGGGCACCAGCAGCTCCCCCAGCAAAGGGCCCTGGGGAAGGCTGCTGATTCCCACCCCGAGAGCAGTATGGCACCCAGTGGGTGCAGTCTTTGGTCCTAGCAATGATCCTGGGGGTGGCTGAGATGGTGGGAATGTTGGGGACCCCACTCCTGCCAGGCACCATCCCAGGGTACAGCCTGGCAGCTGTGGGGTGTAGTGTTCAACAGGCTGAGGGGGACCCACAGTGGGGGACAGCTGCAGGGGCGGGAGGGCAGGCGTGGGTGCTCTCTGCACCCTGGGGCTGGGCTGTCAGGCCATGGGGCCGCCAAAGGGGATTGGAGGCCACCCTGTCCCCTCAAAACACTACCCCCTGCCCTAAGCTGCTGCTGGTTGCATGAAACCCCTGTGCAAAATCAGCAGCAAGGCACCTGCCCAACCCATGGAGACAGATGGACAGTGGAGGGGGTGACATATAAGTGCTATTTGGGGCTGTTGCAGTAAAGAGGAGGGGACAGGTACCCCGGTTTGTCCTTAATGTGTTTTTTCCTCTATTAATCACTCCTGGTGTTAGGCCAGACACTGCAGGTGAGGGCTGGATGAGACCTGCCCCTGGCCATAGTGTGGGTGACACGGGGTAGCCACAGGCCACAGTCTACTGGTCCCAGAACCCCATACCCTGACAGGGCACCATTCCGGGGGCACCCACTACAGTGTTCCCCAGGAGAGGGGAACACAGCACCCACTGGCACCCCCTGTGGCCCCCTGTGGTGTCTCAGCCAGCGGGGAGCGGGTTAAGAACCCGCTGGCCAGAGCCATTGTTTCAGATACAATGGAGAGGAAGAGGATGCCGGGGCTGAAATTCCTTCAGCTCCCACCGGACAGATGGACAGAGCTGGACAAACAGACAGGACAGAGGGCAAGCATGCTTTAACCCTTTCAGGCACTGCGTGGATATGCCCCAGGGCAGCTGGGGGGTGTTTAAGGCATGTGGTGCGGCACCGAAAGCAGGACAGGCACTGGTGTCCAGGACAAGGTGGAAGGACCCCTATCAGCACAGAAAGAGCTCTGAGGGTGATGGCAGCATCTATCCATTTGGTCCTGCTGAGCCACAGGATGCTGGGTGGCCACAGAGTCCGTGACAGCTCTTTGGCACAACACCCCCTGTCTGCATCTGGACTGGCAGCCCCTCCCCTGATTGGTAAACTAGAGAAATAAATAAAAGGCAGGGGCTGGACAGATGGACAGACATAGGGAGAGCCCATGAGGGGCTGGATCTGCTTTGGCAGCAAGCTGGGGCCACAGCCAGGGTCCCAGAGGGAGGCTGGGTAGGGGGTTAGCAGCCCTTGGAGGCCTGGCCAAGGCTCTCGCGCAGGCACCGGAGCTGCTCCTGGCCCAGCTTGATCTTCTCCTCCAGCTCCCGCTGCTCAGCGATGAGGGCCGACTTCATCTTGACAAAGTGCTGGTAGTCCTGGAGGTGCTCGGCGGGCAGGTACCGCGCCACCATGGCACCCACCGCCTCCTCCCGCCGCCCCACGTGCTCCTTCAACTCCTTGGCGTCCTCCAGCTGCGCCACCAGCAGCCGCCGCTTCTCCCGCAGGGCCAGCTGTGGGCGAGATGGGCGGCGTTGGCAGGGGGTCCCACACCCCAAGGCCTCGCAGGCGCCTCCCTGCCCCGTGCCCACCTTGTCCTCGGCGGGGGCGTGCGGCCCCAGGCTGCCCAGGGCAGCCTCCACCCGGGCCAGGCGCCCCGAGAGGGAGAGCAGGAGGTTGACCACCTTGTCCAGGTCGCCCACGAAGAGGCGGTACTTGTCGAACTCCCCTGGGGTGCAGAGGGCTTGCAGACGGGCAGACACGTCCTCGCCCAGTGCCCCGTTGGCGCTGATGTCCTCCTGCAGCCCCCGCTGTGCCTCCCGCAGCACCGCCAGCTTGCGGCTCAGGCTCTCGATCAGCTGCAGCTGCCGGAGCAAAAGGGTCAGGGGCAACTGGGGCCACCCCCCATGGGACTGGGGGACTGGTACAGGGGTGTAGGGGTGCTGTGCTGGGCCCCACAGAACACAAGAACCTGGCGGTACCCCTGGTTCCCATGAGCTACTGGCAATGTCCCCAGTCCCCACAAGCATCTGGCAACTTCTCAGACTCTGTGAGCAGCCAAGGGATGCCCCTGGACCCTGTGGGCATCTGGGAATGTCCCAGTCCCTGCAAGCACTGAGCATCTGGTGACACTTCCAGGCCCTGCAAGCACCTGAAAATGTCCCTGGTCCTCACATGCATCTGTCGTATGCCTTGTGAGCATGCAGCAATATTCCTGGTTCCCACGAGCACCCAGCAATGTCCCTGGCACTCATGAGCCCCCAGTGATGCCCTCGGTTCCCATGAGCAAGCAGCGATGCCCCAGTCCCTGTGAAAATCCAGCAATGCCCCCAGCCCCCATGAGTCCCAGGGCAGTGGGGAACCCTGAGGGCACTGGCCCCAGCAGTGCCTGTACCTTCTTTTCTACCAGCTCGTGGTCCACTTCCTCCTCCTCCTCTGAGCTCCCCTCTGCTACCTCTGGCAGTGCCATCACCTTGCTGAGCAGCTCAGCTTTGCCTGCTGCTGCACCGTAGTGCACCGGGAAGGAGCTGGAGCTGGCAACACTCCCAGGGGGTGGCGAGATGGGCTCGAAACCTTGCCTGGGGGGGGGGGCAGGGGTCAGTGTTTGGGGTGGCAGGGTGCAGCCTGCCCTCTGCACGGCGCCCAGTGCCGCACCAGCCCTACCTGTCCTGTGCCAGGGCCTCCAGGTGCCAGTCCCGCTGGAGACGCTCTCGCCAGGCCTGCCGCTCCCCCGACACCAGCAGCTCGCCCATCACCTCAGTGGTGGTGCCAAAGGGGGCCAAAGGGGCATGGACGTTGGCCAGGGCGTGGTCCCTGACTGCCACATCCCACAGCACTTCCTCCGAGTCCACACGGTGGGGCTGGGGCCGGCTGCCCTGGCAGCTCACCCCCTCCGCTGCCCCGGGACTGGGCTTGAGTGCCTCTGGCATGGCTGGGCCGGGGCCACCATGCAGGGGTGGCGAGCACTCACCCAGCCCACAGGGACCAGCACAGCCCCGCTCCTGGTTCCGGATGAGCCTTTGGGGCTGCTCCTCCATCTCCCAGGGCTGCTTTGCCTTTGGCCGCTTCTCCCCAGGCCCTGCCACCCTGCCAACACCCACCGAGGGGCACGTCAGCCCCCCTGCCCATCCTTGTCCTGGGGATAGGGATGGGCAAGGGGGTTGTGGCCATTCCAGGCAAAGAGGTCAGGGACACACCCTACCCCAAAAAAACCCCAGAGCGTGCCCGAAGGGGTGGATTAGGATGCTCAGATGCAGCGTACAAGAAGCCATGTGGCCGCAAAAGCCCACCCATGTCAAGGCTTTGCCTGCAGCCCCACTCCCACCCCCACGCCACCGCAGCACTTGCCTGCAATTCTCGGTGTTGCCAACATCGGGCCCAGGAGTCCTGCGAAGCGATCCAGGGGGCTCGGGACGGGGCCAGGCACCTGGTGGAGCAGGGGGGCGAGCAGCATGCCCCCAGGACCGGCCCCCCTGCTCCCCGGTGAGGCTCTGTGACCGCTCACGCACCACATCAGCAATGCTGCGGGGTGGCACCGGGGCGGCAAAGGCAGAGCCGTGCCCAGCACCGTCCGGCGGGTGCTGGGATGCCCGGCGCTGCCTGTACTTCTCCCAGTTGGGGGGAGGTGGTCGGGGAGGCGGGGGGCCCTTCTTTTTGGGGACGTGAGGTTGGTCCAGCTTGGCACGGAAAAGGTCCTTCTGGTCGCGGCCCTGGGGACTGGCAGGCTCCAGGTTGAGGTGGCTCTCGGAGAAGGCTCTGCCCCGCAGCGGGCGGTGCAGCGGGTCCAGGGGGCTCTCAGGCATGCGGGCCAGGCGCTCACTATCCCACGAGAGGTCATGCGTGGATGTGGCCCGGTAGCAGGGTGGCCACTCTGGCTTGGCGCTCTCAAAGCAGGCGTGGAAGGGGTCGAGCCTTTGGAAGCCCATTTGGTAGTGGGAGAGCTCACTGGGGAGAGAAGGAGACACTCATTCCCCCACACAGTCACCCCCCTGGCAGCTCATGCCCACCCCTGCCTCATTTTCCTCAGCTGGAGTCACCCAGCCCTGCTGGTGGGGGAAGCCCATGGTCTCCCCCTGGAGATGCCCCCAGACCTCTGAGGATGGGCAAGGAGGGACCCTCCTTGCTGTGGACACCTCCTCACGCCCCCTGGCCCTCTGTGCCCAAGGTGGCACATGGTCCCGTTTCAAAGCACCACACTGAGATGGACAGGAAGCGCTTTGTACATCCCCAACCAAAATCCTGGCAGTCCCCACCTCTCCCCGCTGAAAGTCCTCACTGAGTGGCACACACATCCTAGCACTCCTGTACCTGGCATGGGCTCACCTGACAGACTGGCTGACTTTCCTGGTTATGGCAGGTGGCTCCCAGTCACCCTGAGGAAATTCCTGCGTGGGGGAAGGAGAGGGAGTGTGAAAGAGGGGTCAACATCCCCCTCCCCAACAACCCCGTCCCATCCCATCCCCATTCAGGAGCAGAAGGCATGCAGCGTGTCTGCAGGGCCAACATGGGCACAGTACTCCGCACCCCAACCCAAGGTCACACTCCAGGAGTGCAAGGGGTTGCCAGTGCTGCTCCCCTGCATAGTCCCGGCTGGAGTTACTCACCGGGGCGAAAGCTCTCCGGGGGGGCCACGCGTCGCTCTCCTCTCGCCCAGGACGGGGGGCCGGGCAGCAGCAGTCGGGGCAGCGCGCCCAGGGCTGGGGGTGGCAGTGGCAGGGATGACCGCGAGGCAGCGGTGGTGGGCACGGGTCCCCTCCGCAGTAGCGGCAGGGCTCGGGGCGCAGGGGAACCCCATAGGGGTAGGAGAAGCCCCGCACATAATCCAGCTCCCCCGGCCTCCCCAGCGGCTTGTAGCGGGGGAGCTGCTCCCGGCAGCACTCAGCGTAGGGGCCGGCAGAGCCAGGGCGGCTGGGGGACGGGGGGCTGTAAGGCTGGTCCACCGAGAGGCGGCGGACGTCGCGGTGCTCGGGGCCGTGGGACTGGAAGGCACCGGGATCGCCCACTGGGGGCTTGCTGTGCTGGGGCGGTGCCGGCCGGCTGCTCTCCTCAAAGAACCGGCGGCGGTCGGCAAAGGGCAGGAGGACGGCCTCGTCGATGCCCCGTGGTGGGGAGCTGCGGGCCACCGGGCCCTGGCTGTAGCCCTCCAGCTCACCGGGGCTGGGCGAGCGCTGCGGCTGCAGCTTGCGCTCCGGGGACCAGCGCCAGCGGCCTCTGGCTGTTGGCACCGCCCGCTCGGGAGATGGGGGCCCTTTGGGGGCTGGCAGCGGGTCAGGGGTGGGGATACCCCGGTCCCCCGAGCGGCCGGCGTTCCTGCCGTCCTCGCTCGGCGCGGGGCTGAGACGCTCAGCCAGGGCGGGTGGTCCCTCTGCCGGCACGCTGCTCTCAGGGGGCTCCTCCGTCTCCTCCACCGGCTCCTCGCCAGGCGGGGGGGCACCGGGACCCCGGCTCTTCTGCAGCTGGGCCTTGCGCCGCTGGATCTCGTTGCGCAGGCTGGTGGCGAAGCGGTCGCTGCGGCGGCGCATCTGAGCAGAGCGGTGGGGAGGACCCCCGGCCCGCCGGGCCCCTGCCCGGCTCTCCTCCTCCGCTGGCCCCTCGGTGCTGAGCGCCGGGCTGGCCCCCCGGCTGTCCTGCCCGCAGGCTCGCTGCGGCTCGGGGCAGCAGTGGCAGGGCGGCGGGCGGCAGCAAGGCTCTGGGCAGAGCGGGGGGTCCTGGGTAGCCCCTGCGGTTCCCCCCCGGCTGCCCTCAGGGTGCAGTGGGGACAAGGTCCAGCGGTGCCCATCGGGGGCTGGCGAGGCTCGCTCACTGCTGGAGCCCACCTGCAGGGAGCGGAGCTGGGAGGCCAGCAGCTGCTCGGGAGCACTGTGCCGGTGTGGCACGTGGCCTTTGAGGGGGGACAGCAACGGGTTGTCACCTGCTGTCGTGGCATCCGGCACTCGGTGCGTGCTGCCATCCAGGTACAGCCGGTCATCAGACTCCATGCTCTCCCCCAGGAGCGGCTCAGCCGGGCACCGGTCCGGGTGGGAGCTCAGCATGTAATACTGGTCAGCAGAGAGACGGTCCTTCGTGGGGTACGGCGCCAGCGTCCTCCCGCCCACCGCCTCCGCCTCCCCATCCCGCTGGCAGAGGAAGGTGTCGGAGATCCACCGGCCCTTGGCATGCAGCATGTCCGCTGACACCGACGCCCGGTGCCTGTCCCCTCTGCTGCCTGGGGCTGCCCGCAGGCTGTCCCTTCTGACAGGGGGCTGGGGAGGCACAGGCGCCCGCCAGGCCTCGGGGTGCCGGCTGGCAGATGGCTCAGCCCCTGTGGTCAGGTACCGCCCGTCAGGGGCCTTGCAGGAGCCTTGAAAGCTGGAGTCACTGGACACGGCCTCTTCAGGGCGGAGGGAGAGGGCGCAGTCGGAGGCGATGGAGCTGGCAGAGAAGGAGCTATAGGCTGAGTCCCGCTTGCTGTGGTACATGCCCTGGTCAACGGGTGAGGGGTCTCCTTCATAGTAGGCCTGGCTGGGGTGGTCCAGGCTCTCCATGCTCCCGATGGAGCTGCTCCGGTCGGTGCTGCAGTGCCGGGACAGCGGGTTCCACTGCAGGGACAGCTCACTGCTGCCCGGCCCCATGCCAGCATTAGGGGTGTCTGCCACCCCCTGCCCAGTTCTGCAGAGATCCCACTCCCCTACACATACACCCTCCCCGGGACAAGGGGGCACAGAGCAGCACAGCCCCAACCTGCCCTTCACCACTGGGTTTGGGGGCAGCCCCAAGATTGGCCCGGCACTGGCAGGGAGAGCAGGCACAGGGCACACAGGGTGTGCCTCATTCCAGCCACTCGGGACCTCACAGTTCTGGCAGCAGGGGCAATGGGACTAAGCAGCTCCTGGCCGGCTCCGGCAGAGCCACCGCCCCTTCCTGCCGGGAGCTGGGAGTAAACAGGCAGGGGAAAGGGCAGCGCAGTGGAAGGACAGGGGGAATGCCCAACAGTGGTGTGGGGCAGGCATGTGAGCATCTACCCCACACCCCTCACCCCGACCCAAGCAGGTGCCCTGTGCGCCCTGCCCCTTGCACAGTGTCATGAATGCCCCCAGGGTCTCACCTGACATCACACCCCGAGGGCCATGAGAGGCTGAAGGCATCAGTGGGGCAGTGCATGGTGGGGGCGTCGGGGCGGCTTTCGGCGAGTTTGGCCACGTGCCAGGAATGGGGCCGGAGGACGGGCACACTCCTCCTGCCAAGAGCAACAGCGGGAAAGGACAAGAATGGGGAGGAAGCCGGGCCGAGGAACCGGGGCTGAAGTCACTTCCTACGGGGCTTCCTGTCCCCCCAGGCCAGTGCCTGCCCAAGGGGGACGGCGGCGAGGAGGGTCCAGCCCTGCCAGTGCCCGGCACTGGGCAGGGGGATCCCACAGTTCACCCTGCTGGCCAGGGTTCCCTGCCTGCAGCATCCCTGTCGCCAGCATCAACAGGGGACCGAGGACGTGGCCCCTGTGCAGCCCACAGGCAACGCCCCAGGCAAGGCAAACATCGCTGCCGGGACTGGGCCGGCTCTGCCAAGGGACCCTGCTGAGGCTACATCTGTGTCTCCACCGCAATCCTGGCCTTCCCCTCTTGTTCCTCGGTCCCTCAGCATTCCCAGCAAGCACCAACCACATCTGTCTCTAGAGAGGAGGGGGGGTCCTGTGCTGGGTCCCATCCCAACCCCTGGCAGCCCTGGGGCTCTCCAGTCCCCACACCACATGCAGGCAGCGGTGTCCAATGCCACCACACAGGCACGTGGTCAGCAGCCACCTCCTGAACCCCTCAAGTGCCCAGTGCTGCCCCAGCATCTGCTGTCTAAGCGAGGAGGGTGGCAAGGAGAAGCTGGGGAGTGAGCACAGGGACTTCCCTTCCCAGAGCCCCAAACTCACCATGGACGATGCTGAGCCCCAGCACAGCCCCGTGGCACCCCTGCCCGATGGGCAGTGCCCTGCGCTGCTCCTGCCCCTGGGTGCCGCTGGAGCTGGAGTCAGTCAGGATGCAGCCAGGGAATGGATGCAGGTTGGGGGTGGGGGGGAAGACTGCAAGGCCCAGCCCTGCCTCTCCTTCCTTTCCCAGGCAGGCAGGCAGGAGGCAGGCAGGAAGGGAGAGGAGCGGCCACGCTTGAGGATACCGCCCAGCAAGGGGGTGGCCAGCCCGCCACACTGCCCCGGCTCCTCTGGCTGGGGAACCCCCACCCACCCAGAGCGCTGGCAGCCGCAGGGGTCTGACCCCCATCCCATCCCAGCAAGGGGCACCTCCAGGCTGGAGGCAAGGGCACCTCCAGGCTCCTGCAAGCCCCCTGGGCAGGCAAAGCCCCACTGGCCCTCCCTGCGTCCCTCCCCCACAGCGCTGCCAACCTGCGAACGATCATCTTCAGGGTGCGGTAGGAGCCCTTGATGAGGATCAGGGCCTCCTGGCGGGACCCGTACAGCGGCGTCCCGCTGATGTTCACCAGCTCGTCACCCGGCTGCAGCCGGCGGGACAGCGCAGCCTTGCCCCCATCCTCCACCTGGGCAACAGAGAGGGGCGTCAGGGGGGACACGGCCCCCAGAACATCCTAGGGGATGTGCCGCAGCCACCGGGTGCCAGGGGAGAAAGAGGCTTCGTTCGGAAAGGGGGTGCCTGAGCACCAGGCACCGCAGAAGGATCTGTGCGCGCCGGGCTCCCCCCCTTCTCTGGTCACATGAATTTCTGAGCGAGGAAAGGACATCGGGGAGGGGGGAGAAAGAAAAATGTCCCATCCCAGCAGATTCCCCCGCGGGTGCAGGCAGCACAAGGGCCCTTTGTCCGGCGTGGATGCCAGCCCCCTGCCGCTGCTTCCAGCCCCACGTCGGGCCTGCCTGGGCACCCGTGGTGATTTCAATGCCCAAAGCATGCCATCGCACCCTATGTGCCCATGGGAGACAGCTAACAGGGGATGCACTGAGCCCTGGCACATGCCTACCCTTCCCTGACACCCATGGCCAAAATGAGCCTGGTACCCTGGTACCTCCAGCTCACAAGGCCACGGTGCTGCCAGCACATGGGACCCCAGCCCACCCCCTCTGCCCCAGCAGGTAGGTGCAGTGTGGGCAGCCCCAGGATGAGCTGTGCCTAGCAGGTGCAGCCAGAGAGCCCACTGCCACCTGGGGTGTCCCGTACCCCCTTGCCTGGCATGGATGTGGCTAGCCACTACAGCCACCCACAGAGCAGAGCTAATCCGGCCCCATGCTAAGGCTCCTGCACCCATGGGCTCCTCATCCTGCCCAGCTACTCCCAGACTCAGCCAAGGAATGAGCTCTGCTCACAGTGCCTGCAGCACCAGCCTGGGCAGCAGCCAGGCCCCAGTGACAGGAGCACCCACGACTTCCTAGCAGGCCAGTCATTGTGCACATGCCTTTGGGCACCCCTTTCCAGCCCTGGTGCCAGGCAGGTCTCAGGGGCCATCCTGCTGCCCCTGGACAAGATGGCACCTTGGGAAGCAGCCAGTAGCAGCAGCAAGGCCTCCTGCCCATTCCAGTAGTGCCCCATGGCCCTGCCTGGCACAGCTATGCCCAGCACCCCACAGGTCTCCCACATTTTCAGGGACCTGGGTGCTGCAATGCCATGGCCGGGCTAGGCACAACCCACTGTGTCTGGCTGTGCAGACATGCTGCCCTCCCACCCAGATGCCAGCCATGGGGCTGCCTTCCTGGCAGGGGACTCTAGCTGCCCGTGAGGGCTCCCAGTCCCACCATGCAGTCAATGGAGCACCTGAGTTTACTCCCTGCCACGCTGCTGCCTGCCACTGGGCACTGGCAGAGCAGGTAGGACAGACTGCACCTTCACCCCAGTCCTCTGCCCAGCCACATGCCCACCCAGTCCTGCCTGCCATGGCCACAGGGCTGAGTCAGATGTGAAGGGTGCCCCCCCTGCTGCAGGGCACCACCAGGCCTCCACCCGTGTCTGGGCCATCACATGCACCAGGATGGACATGGCTCAGCCCTGGCATTGCTCACCAGGAGCTAAATCTGGCACAAACAGCCCCTTGTTCTGCCTTCGCCACCAGTGAACTCAGCACTGGCACCCAAACCTGGACTGGGACAGCCCTGGACACTTCCCAAAAACCACCCCTCATATTCACTCTGGTCCCTAATGGTGGGCACTAGATGGCTCACAGGAATATCTGCCTGCCCCAGGAGAAACTTGTCTTAGGAATCACAGCCAGAGCTGTGCCCCCCCTGCCCCACACCAACCTCCCTTCTTGTCCCCGACGTGCTCAAAGGGACCCTGTGCCAGAGAGCACTCGCAGCCCCACAGAGGGCCTGGAGCCCATGGGACCCCGCCGTGGGACTCTGCCACAGGAAGGGATCCCGCCCGGAGTGGGAGTTTGGAATGGCCAAACTGTGTCACCGAGTGCGGGGACGCCCTTCCCCTTTCCGGCGCGGGGCCCGGGCCCCCCGCGCAGCAGGCGGGGGCCGCCCCCTCCCCGCACACACCTCGGCCGGCCACAGCGGCGGAGCAGTGGCCCCGGGGGACCCTCCCCTGAATGCACAGAGCGTTGGAACAAGCCCCCTTTGTCTGCCGAGCACACGCGGCGGCGGCGCGGCCGGAGGAGCGCGGGGGCCGGCACCCCGCGGCCCGTAAGGACCACCCCCCCTTCTCAGCAGAGCTGGGGAACATCCCCTGGCCCTCCCACCCCCTCCTCCGGCAGCCGGCGAACCCACTGGGACCCACCGCCCCGAGGAGCCAGGCAGCCGGTCGGGGCGCGGGCAGCTGCCCCCTCCGCCCCCGGCTGCCGCCCGCCGGCGGTGCCACCCCAGGGCGCAGGGCTGGGACCGGAGCCACTTTTCCAGCTCCCCCAGCCAGACCGCGCTGCCCGCGTCCCGCCGAGGGCGTGGGGCGGCCCGGGGGCGCAACCAGCCCGGCTCGGGGCAGGGAGCAGCCCCGGGGCCGCCAGCCCGGCCCGCCGCACCCCGGCCCGGCAGGATGGTGGCACCGGGCGGGCAGGCGGCCAAACCGCCCGGCGACAGGGGCCCGTCCGGGCACCGCGGAGGGGCGGGTGCTGGGGCTTCCCCGGCCGCTGCCCGGCTTCCTGCGGGTCTCACCGCAGGGCGATGCGGCCGGCGGGGGCCAGGAATCGATGACACCCCGTGTGGCGAGACATCGCGGCCGTGGGGGTCACCCTCACCCCGCACTCTCGGCTGCGGTCGGACCCCGCACCCCGGCGTCAGCCCCGTCCCGGGCACAGTCCTGCCCCTGCGTTCCAGGGGCGCCCGGGGCGCGACGGGACGGACTTTGGTCCCCCATACCGTGGCCCTCAACGTCCCGATCCCGGGGGCGCCCGCGGGCGCGGCACCGACGGGTGGGCACACGAAGGGGGGCTGACCTCACCCGGCTACGCCCCGCGGGACGGCACCGGCGAGGACGAGTTGGGGGGGAACGCGGGGGCCGCCCCCGACGCCAGCCCAACGGATGTGCCAGAGGAATTTCTTCCTGCCGCCGGGCCCAGGCTGTCCCTCCGCCCCCCTCGCTGCCGCTCTCCCCCCGCGGCTCTGAGCGGCGGGGCGCGGGGGCCGGCGGTGCGGGGTGGCCGCCCCCGCCCCGGCACGCCGGGACACGCGACCCCGCGCCCGGGGCTCCCCGCAACCCCCGACGCCGCCGCGCCCCGGGTGTTCCCCCCTCCCTCCTCCCACGCCCCGCCACGGGCGGGAGGCCCGTGGCGGGGGGATGCCGCGGAGCCCACGCGGGACCGCGCCGGCGGTGCCTACCTTGGAGACGATGAGGGGCTCGCCGTGCTCCAGCCCGCCGCGCAGCGTGAAGCCCCAGGGCGCGCCCCCCTGCAGCTGCACATGCACGTACTGGGGGGCGCCGGGCCGGCCCTCGGCCCGCTCCATGGCGGCTACAAACTACAGCCCCAATCCATCCCGGCCCGGCCCGGCCCGGCCCCGCGCCGCGGAGGAAATGACACCCCCGCCCGCCCGGGCTGAGCGGCGCGGGGCGAGTGCGGGGCGGGGCCGACCCGCACCGGGGCTGCTCCGCCGCCGCCAATAAGGCGCGGAGGGACGGCGGCGGCCGGCCCTGCTCGGCACGGCATTGTCATGGCATGGCTTGGCATTGCCATGGCACGGCTTGGTGTTGCCATGGCACGGCTCAGCATAGCGCGGCGCAGCTCAGCGTGGCACGGCTTGGCTCAGCACAGCTCATGGCACGGCTCAGCACACAATGGCACAGTGCAGCACCTTGCTACTAAGCTCAGCTTGGCTTGGCACACCACCCTTTAGCCCAGGGACCTGCACTGAGCTGCTTGGCTCAGCTTGGCACACCCAGCCAGTGTAGTTCAACTCCGTCCAGCTCAGCCCAGCATGGCATGACACAGAGTGCTGGCACAGTTCAGTGCAGAACAATACAGCACAGCTCAGCTCAGTGTGGGATGACAGGGGAGTCAGCATGGGTTAGCTGGTCCACCATGGCTCAGTGCAGCTCAGCTGGGTTGGCACATTCTGGCTTGGCTTGGCTCAGCTCAGCACGGGATGGAACGGTTCAGTTCGGTACAGCACAATACGATCAGGGGCCTCAC